TGAGGATGCAAAGGATGGGAAGCGTCCTATTCTTGGGAGTTCATCCCTCAAGCCGCCGTTTATCAAGTCGGGGTTGCCGCCCGTACGCAGCTCAGGGCGTGGGCGGCACTGTGGGTGGTGTGTATTTTGTCCTTTGGGTTTAGTGTGTAGGTGAGAGTGCTGGCGTGGGCGTGAGGTTGTCTTATGTGGTTTTGAGCGCGAAGAATAGAAAGTTGGTAAAGGTCGCCGCTGTTACCGGGCCTTTGTTGCCACCCACCGGCCTCCGCCGCCGTCGCCGTCCGCGCCGCGAGTGGCTGCGACCCCATGACCCCGTCGCCCACTCGCGCCTCGCACGAGGGAAGCTCCGCGCTCTTTCGCTTGCGTTTTCAGAGAGACGCATTTATACGCATGCGTGCTAAGGCACGCGAACACACTCCTATACACACGCGCACGCACACGCACGCACACACATCTACGCACTCAAGCCCGCGCGCGCGCGCACACACACACACACATACACATACATACATACACAGAGAGACAGACAGACAGACAGACAGACAGACAGACAGACAGACAGACAGACAGACAGACAGACAGACAGACAGACAGACAGACAGGATGGAGAGGGGGGTCTATTTTAGTGTGATTATCCTTGTTCATCCTATTGTGGTCCGTAAGCCATTATCCCTCTTCCACCCCAGAAAATCACGTATTATTCAAGAGGCCATTGATTCGTCCATGCCAAAGCTTCGCATCAATTCACGACTTTCCTTTAATCTTCGTGTTCAAACGACATAGACAATAGATTTACCGATTTTGTGTTTATAGGTTGTGGCTGATTGCTTGCGTGTTTGTTCCTCGGGGATAAACGGTGAAAACAAAGTCATGTTGGTTGTTTTCTTTTTGTTTTTCTTTTCTTATTAATATTCTTCTTTTCGTGTTATTTGATTCAAAGAAAAAAATTATATTTACTGACATATCCCTACTCTTTCAGGCTTGCAACGACTACGTGGATGTGAGTGGCACTGCTGGGCGCAAATGGCAGCGTCTCTTGCAGCATGAGCGTGACCAACGATTGAGGCTGGAAGATATGGTGGAGCAGTTGGCCCGCCAGCATTCACATCTTGAGCAGGAGGCCAAGGAACAGATGAATCAGGCCATGCCACCAGGTCAGTACAGGCGAGAAAAGGAAGGAAAGGAGAGGATGATCTGTCTGTAAAATGAGGGTTTGGAAAATTATTAGTTTATTATTATTGTATTTTTTTTTCTATCAGTTTTTTTTATTTGTTTCTGTTAGTGTTCAGCTGAGTAACATTCAGTGTTGTTGCATGCACACTCCTTGTTAGGATTTATGAGTAATTAATTGGAAAAAAGGGGGGGAAGCATGTGCTTAACTTGAATCACATGTATGTTGCGCAGCTTTAAAAAGTTGATTTTATAAAATGCCTCTAGCAGCATTGTATGTTCTCTGTATTTTGATTTCACTGGTAGGATTAACAGGTTCTGTAATTTTTAAGTTGTGTATTATGACTAGTGTGATAAAAGAATGCTAATTGATTTCTTAAAAAAGAAGATAGGATTATGTCATGCTTTGCTTAGGCAAATTGGTTTTAGTGTCTGCCCTCATAGTCCCTAGTGCATTTACATTTATTATTTTATCTTTTGGGGAAAATGTATCCATCCCTTTGTAGGAAGGGTTATTCAGCAAGTTGAATAATGTTTGCTTATGCTAATGCTTTTACCTCTATAAGTATTGTGGGGCCTTGCATACATATTAGGTGTCTCTGTAGGGCTGCAAGGTCCCGTACCCAGCTCGGCACCAGTAGCTGTCAATGAATACCGACCTCCAGATCCAAATCCTGAACAGGTGAAGGAAGTACTTTCAGGTGGGTTAGGGATGAGAGGCGTAGATGTAGAGGATTTTACTCATCCGTACTAACACTAACCACTTGGAACTACTTTCTTCCACTTCTGGTTGTTTTGTTGTGGTTGGCACTAGTGAGACATGGCTGTTCAGTAGCATTTGATATCTGATAGTCCCCCTGTACAAGGTAAAGGTTGTCAAAGCTAGCAGGGTCAAGATCCTAGTGAAAATTAGATGGTTGTCTTTAAGGTTAACAAATAGATTGTGAGGACCAAAGACTGTACATTATTAGGACTGAGCAGAGACAAACTTGATGATATTAGATATATTAGATCTATTGAAAAGTTAAGTATATTTGTTTTCTACTTGAATTGCAATAGTAAACTTTGGAAGGGCTGCATATATAGTACATGTTTATCTTTAACCAAGAAAGTTTTGATGAATTGGAAAGTTATTGAATTCTTTGATTTATATTTAATAAATAGTAGATTATATGTAAAGGAATTTATGCATAAAATGCCAGTACATTGACAGTAATTATATAGAACTATAATGAGAATACCACCAAAGATTATAGTAATATCTTTCTTTATTTAACAGAAAGTAAATTCTGATGCAAGATATGATGAATTCAATGATTGCTATTGCTCATTTACTGAACCTGAATAGGAAGAATAGCAGTCAGTCTGTAAATTAGTCTGTCTGTTTAGCTGTTTGCCTACAAAGTCATTTCACAGAATGTTTGCCACACATGCTATTTAGATCTACATTTACATACATGCAGTCCAATAAGGAAGTTTATATATATATCTTGAGGAACAGGTTTTGATGCTGGCAAGGACCCAAGAATGGGAGACCCAGATAAAACCCGTTTTATTGTCTCTGTTGGTTATTTTATTTGATTCTTGCGGAGAAGGTATGGATTACATTTTCTGTTTCCTGCGTTATCATAACTTGGGTGTAGTGGTTTCCTCTTAGTCTTTGTGTAATATATCCAAATTTTAAAAAGTATATCTTAGCAAGTGTATACATTGGTTCACTTGTAAGTATTTTAAGATTGTCTCCTAAAGTTGATTGCACATACTGTACCTGTTCTCTTTACAGCCACTTCTAGGTAAATCTTTTGAAAAATGTTCTTGCTATATTCAAGGATGAACTTAATTCAAGGAACAGATTCCTCATACAAGCAAAGATAGACAACAAGTACCTTTCAAACTTGTTCGAAGAGATGTCATACCAATTCATTTGTCACATCTCTGGTTTATAAGAAGCAATATCAGCGAGTTCTATCGGGTCTTAGACCTGTATTATGATATATATAGACATCTATCTGTTATGCTTTGATTAGTTTTGGATTTCTATTGAAATAATGTTTCATGATATTTATATAAGGAGATTTGAATCAAAACAGAGCTTTGTGCATCAGATATGTATGTTCTTATTGATATAGGAAGGATTTTGAGAGAATGGATGGCTTTATAACACAGTGAATGTTATTTATGTATTTTTATTAAATCTTCAACAGGATTACATGCAGTTCTGATGGTGATTGGATTGAAATTATCAGTTACATCTCTTAAACTCTATCTAGAGTTTGTATTGTCTATAGATTTGCCTACTTAGTGTGTGTTTAATAGAATAGGAGTGCTATGACAGATGATATTGATTATGCTTTCTTGTATCTACAACCTTGATCCAGAATTTTTCTTCATAAGAAGGATGGATCACTGATGACTTAGTTTTTATGTAAACAAGATCACATCAGCCTAAGTTTCCTAAGGGAAGTAACATTGCATTGAGGACAGAGATTAAATGATAAGGAGTTGATTGCACTTGAAATATTTATTTACATATAAGCACAAGTATTTAAAATTTGAGGTTGTAGTGTAGATAATTGATATCGATAGCTGAGACAGAAGAACGGAGAATCATCAAGAGTGGTTTTACCATCCCCAGACATGTATAAAAGGGTCTTGCTGTGTGAGAGTAAATTGATATCAGTTTTTTTTTCTGTCTATAATGAACAAGTGTTTCTGCATAGAGGCCTCTTATTGGTGGAACTAACAACTTTGATTATTTTCTTTTAGATTATGTTTTAAAAGGTTATGAGGGCAGTAACTTGTGCACAGCTGGTGGCTTGAAGTAATAAAGACTTGATAGTATAAGCACACTGATTTATTAGAAGCAAGAAGTGAGACATCTGCAGTTCTTTTAGCTGTTGTTGTCTGACTTGTCTTTTTTTTTCTTTATATTTGGAAAAGAGGGAGTAGTATCTGCATTTTTTCTTTTTTTTTAATGTTAGCAATATTATATGAGGATGTTATTTGTTATTTCATCATGCTATTTATACAAAAGGGATGATAATAGATTTCCTATTATTTCAATTTTTAGATAATTTTGTCATATTCTATTATTTTTCTGTGATTTCCTATATTTGTACTTAGTCTCTGCCTATATACAGTATTTCAATCTGACTCATTCAGCATTAATTATCATTATTTTTACTCTATTTCCTTCTTTATAAGAGAGATCCCCCTCTCAGACTATAGCTTAGACACATCCCACACTTGTAACCATCCCTTTCTTTAACTTCCTCGTTCTACCTGCAGGTCACAGCCACAGCGAGGATGAGGAGGAGAATGAGTTTGAGGACGCAGTGGAAGAGCTGGCAGAGAACTTCATTGTGCATGTAAATACAAGTCAGGCACACAGGAGGTCTAATTCCAATGTTTCTCAGGTGAGTCTTTGTTGCTGTGCGTCTTTGATCCTTGTTGTCATTGTTGCCGTATTTGTTTAGAGTACACTTTTGTATTTGTAGATTTTTCAAATTAACCACGCCATGGACCGTATGACATATTTTGCTGTTTTTTTTTTAGGGATATATGTGTTTATTTTTTTGTAGATTTGAATTTGTAGAATTGGAAGTTGATTTTTATGCTTGGTTTTGGTTTTAAGAAAGTGTATTTGAAGTAATAAGGGCTTGAATATGATCTGTGTTTTCCTTAATTTTGGGGGAAGATGCTTACAAATAACCATTTGTTCCTTTTTAGTTGTTTGTTGCATTGTTAACAGAAGTTAGAGATAGTAAGTTGAAAAGAAATTGTGATATGATAAAGGTATTTGGTGGGCAGATATATATTGCTGGCATCATCATTGCTCTGGAGATTTTAAGGTGTTTATAAAAGGAGTAGAACAAAAGTTTCTTTTTCAGTCCTTTATATTAAATTTATTAATAGGGAAGACATTCATATGTAATTCAGTTATTTTAGTGCCATTTCTCAACCTTTTTTTTCATATGTGATTAAACATTATCTATGGAAACTTATTTGCCTGTAGATACACATTTGAGGACGCTAGATGTGATCAAGAAGTTTGCCAGTATGGCAGATGAATTAATGATTGCAACATTTATTCTGCAACACAATATGATACGAAGACAGGAGTTGCTGAGATGATTAGCTACTTGGAAATAATCATCAGCAAAACTTGTATGGGAATAAGTAGACTGCAGAAACACACAAGAATTAGAGGCTGGATGATGATATAAGCCAAAAATGTATAATCTTTATATGCAAGGAAATTAGAAGTGGGAGATAGATATTCACCAATATATGAAGATGGAAGAGCTGCCAGACTTATTATTTGCCCACCAGCATGTTTGTGCTTCTCCACTTAATCATAAATGAAGTTATGGCTTTTGCTTAAGACATAGAAGGTCGTGTAATGCAGTATAGGTCGTGTGATGTTGCTCTCCTTGCTTGTGGCTCGCTTGTATCTTAGACCTTCTTCAAGACTGCAAACAAACATCTGAAATAAACCAATAAAAGTAAGCTCTTGCCTTAAATGGAAGTTGGTAATACTTGGACCCTTAAATTAGAGTACAGTGTGTTTTACCCTGTAGCACATGTAATATATATGATTTTTTTTTTTTTTTACCCCTTTTTTCCCTTCTGTTTTGAGAGTGTGATATAAGAAAAGAGAAAGAAAGTAAGAAAGAAAGAAAAAATACTAAAATCCCTCATCAACATTTTATGCTTTCATGTGTCATGTGGTCATATTGTTTCACATAGGAAAGTATATGTAAACAGAGGGAGGTGTGGGGGGGGAAAGCAGCCATGATTTAGCAATTTAGTTGAGAACAAAAGTATGCCTGGGAAAAAGCTTGTGGTTGATTATGTGTTTGGGTACTGTAGGCGTCAGAAGGGCACGGTGTAGGAGACACAGTGTCCGCATCCAGCAGCGAAGGAGACGGGCAGGACAACACCGTCCAGGTCATCATGAGGAAAGACAACAATACAGACAGTAGTTATAGCGTAAGTTGTTCTCCGTGAATGTTCCATTCCAGTGCTTCTGGCCTTTGCTTGATTTGATGGCTGTCATGTATGACTTATTGATGGTAGGTTTTTCTTGTATATCTTTGATTTGCATGTTTAGGGGAAGGCTTTTGAATAACCATATGTATTTTGCATACACTATAGGATGGCTGATTCACTTGTTTTTTCTTTTTTCTCCTTTTTTTTCTTTTGTTTTTGTATATTACTCTCTTTTGAATTCTATTTCTTTTTGCTTTTATTATGGTTGATTTCTTGGGCCTTTTGCTGGTTTGAAGTCATTTTCAGATTTCTTGGAACTTTGCTATTTTGCTCATCTTTTTTAGACTACCTCATTTTTAAAGTGAAAATGCATTGCTTACTCTGTTGAAATGTGCAGAAGTACAGATACAAAATAAGGAAAATTAGATGGCCATATGTAACTTATTAATGTTGTTTATAAAGAATGTAAATTTTAGAAAGTAGATCATCACAAAGGTGCCCTGTGATGACTTAGTATTCACATTCCTCCTGTTCATTTTGAAAAGGCTGAAAATCCTACCATTGTAGCATTCCTCAAAATGATCTGTGTGATGATGGTATGTTATTTTGTTCCATTTAAGAACAGAAACAAACGTTTAAATTGTTTGATGAACTCTTATGGGGAGATTATCGAGGCTTGTCAAGTGACTAAATAGTTACCTAAGAAGCACTGAACGGGTATATGATTAGCTGTCATTATCATGCATTTAACCCCCATTTACCCCCAACCCCAGTCTTAATGAAGGTCATCATGATATTGAAAAAAAGGTATGAATGAATATGCATCTTTTTATAAATGTAAAATATGTAATTACTCATCTTGCCATGAAATATTGTTCAGTCATTCATATGCATTGTTAGTGGTTAGCATTTTTTTTTTTTTTCTTCTTTTCTTTTTTCTTCTTGTCATGGGATAAATCAGTAGGATATTTGAGGAAAGAGATTAAAGACTGTATTTAAGTGGCTGAACTCCTTTCTCAAGCACAAGAAAATTTTTGAGTATTATTATCGTTCATTTCTTATTTGATTAGTAATTCTGTGATTATGTTACCTTTTTGGTCATAAGATTAAGACGCTGTGAGATGCATAGCAAGTAGTGATAATTGTAAGACATTCATTTATGCATTGATGACATGAGCTCATTATGTAATTGCGTACGTGTGGGATTACTATACATGTGACTAATCATCAAGAGGAATTTTTACAAGTAACCAGTCCACATCACCATAAACAAGTACCTTCTACGCACTGTCTGTTACGGGTGGGCAGGTGATTTTGAATGTATGTTTGTGTGTTTGCAAG